TATATTTTAGAAAGGTTTAGACGACCTTGGAAAGCCCTGAAAAATTGGGCCTGAGGTAAGACGGGCAATCTAAAAAATAAGGGTAAAGAAAAAGAGGAGATAATGTGTTCAGACACTATTGATGAAGGTAATAATTGATAAATTTAATTAGATATCATTGTGATTCTGAATTCCAACTCTGAGATTTTGAGATCTAAATCTAGATTATTCATTCCACTGCTTATTTGTAATCTTATTTTATTTTATTATATTTAAAGTATAATATTATAAAATTTTTTTTTTTTAATAAAACCTGTTTAATTTGTGTAACTCCCTAATTTGAACACTTTTTCAGTCCAACTCAAATTCCTATTAACTAATATTAGATATGCTTCAACAAATTGGGCAATTATCAAAAGAAAAATAGCGAGTTGTATTAATTATAAAAAATATTAGTCTATTAAATTAAAATACTATACTTAAAAAGAATGTGCTAAACGATATAATAAATATTCTTATATGAAACGCCAAGCAAATTAAACATATTGTACGAATTATATAAACAAAGATCGCATCTTATTATAGTTGGGTAATGGCTAAATGTCGGCTAATTCGACTCAATCTATATGCGCGGGAGAGAATACTTTGTCATTAAAGCTTTTAATGTATATTAGTTTCTTTTAAATTCTCCCTAAAATAAAATTTACATTATATTGAAAAGAAAATAGAGTCAAATCTCTTATTTTTATTTCAACTATTTATCTCTTTTTTTTAAATATCTTACTTGAGACCTGCAATATGTATTTAGCTCGCCGACCTACGCTCGCCCATTCCGCATGCGGGCGTGGCGAGCTAAATAATTTTAACATTGATGGGGTTAGCGATCAGGTTATTAATATGTGTAAAAAAAAGTAGATTAGAATTTTCTATTTACTAAAAATTATCTTATTATTTCATATTGAATCCTATAAGTATAAATTGATAAATATATTAATAAAGATTTAATAAAGAACCAAATAAGCATAAAATAATTTTAAAACATTGGGCGGAAGAACGGATCAAACAAATTTTCGCAATAAATCAGCAGGCCGACATGTAAACTTTAAAAAACCATTGGCGGGCTGGCCAATAGGTTATTTTTTTAAATAATAGATGCAAGTTTACGGGTTAAAACCCGCTCTTTACAGACTTCGACTTTTTACTATAAATAAATTAATCGGTCACCCGTCAAAGGCCTTGCTGCAACCTTCTTGCGAATCATATCTCGCAAGAAGCCTAGCCTCACATTCTTCCTCTCCATCTTTCACATACCTTTTACCATCCGGTGCATCATCTTTCTTTAAAAGGGTGTGCTTGCCACCGCCGAATCTTTTAGATATAACTCTCCGTGGAATCTTAAATTTATCTAAATATTTTTAAAATTATATTTAATTAAAATATTAATTTAAACAATTTTACCTTATTTTGGTGAAGCGCACTCTTTTCCTGTAATTCTGCCTTCATTCATTTGGTCCATAGACCCATCACAAAAAAGAGATTTTTTACAAAATATGATAATTTTAGAGAATAATTTTTTAATGATAATGATTGTTGTTCTATTTTATAAACGTTAAATAATTTACATCATTGATAATTATTAAGAAACTGTTTTATATATTATGATTGTTTGCCAAATAAATACATCGCAATAATCAGCGCCTATCTCTATCACTAAGTATAGCATGACGCTTAGAATATTTGTTTTTATATGGTTGGATTAGTTTCACCCTGACTTATTATAACTGATTTAAGTTTTGTTTACCTCCATGTATAAAAATATACTAGCATAATTATACAGAGAATGGATCTCTGCCTATAATTCATGTTAGCTGGGAAGATTATAGAGTAACATGCTAAGATAAGATAAGATTAATATATATAAAGGATATTCAATAAATTATTATCCCATATTAAATTGTAAGTTGTCAGATAAAACAAAATATAGATATTAATTTAGTTCCTAGTCAAAATGTCCGAATAGGTAGAAAGACTCTTTTTTTTTAAACAAACGGGGGCAAATTTAGAAACTGAAAATGGAATATGTAACCCCATTGTATATAGGAAACTGGAACGACAATGAATCGGTTCCAAAACCGGTTTTAACAAGTGGAAGTTTATTGCTTAATATCCTGGGAACTTCGTTAATTTAAGGATCGGTATTTAGAAGCCACTTTTAAATATTTAGATGCTTAAACAATAATTTTTATAAAATATTCAAAACCTTACCTTATAATTTAGCGTTTCAAACTCTGCTAATATCATTAAGTATTTTAGTAGATTCACCCTTAAATAAATAGCAAAATAAGAAGAAGAAGAAATTAGTATAATACTAGAAAGGAAATTATAGGGGCATAGAATATTTTACTTGTGTTGATATTAATTGCTTGAATACTACATAACAATTTATCTATTACTGTTTTATCAGCCATGAAATAGGTATTCAGTTATATTGTAATTGAAAAAAATTTAAACATTACACCTGAATGAAGTTAGTCAAACTCTTAAATCCCTTATTTCCAAAGCTTAAGCCAATTCGCAATTCTTAGTTATGTCTCCTATATCACCAGAGAATTAAAAAACTGAAATGGTACGAAAAATAACATATCCTTAAATGCTCAGAGTAAATATTTAAACTATCAAACAATGCTGAATAGCTCAAAATTATTTGTTAAATCATGTTTAAAAATCGAATTGCGCAAAAAAATTAATATTTCTGAGATGTAAAATTAAACCGTTCAAAAATTGAAACTCTAAGAATTCCTTATTTTTGATAATAAATATCTTTTCTTAATACTAAAAAAAATTTGTATATGATTATAAATTTTCAAAAAAATCGGCCCCTTCGGGCTACCCCCCTAAGCTACCTCATTTTAGAGAAATTATCAGATGAATGCTTAAAATTCAGTTTCTGGGATTAGAGAATTTACAATTGTATATACAATTTATTAGGCTCATAGTTAATAGCTCAGAATATAAAGTAAAATTCTCAAAATATATATAGAATAGATTATTATATTACTTAGAATTCTGAATGCTTAGAATAATTTCTTAAAGCTCATATAACAAACTAAATAACATAAGCCAATTGCTCAGGTATATAATTGAAATACTCAAATTATAAAATACAAATATATGAAACTCGCAGAACTAGTCACCTTTTAAAAATAATATATTAAACAATGGCACATGTCATGGGATTTAATCGATCTAATTTTAATATATTCAATGATATAGGAAAAATATGTCAAAATTTTGTTCAATTGTTTTTCTAAGTACTATTGATGTAATATTATTAAACTGCTCCATTTGAGCCTACTTTTAAAGCGGCTAGCTCAATATTTTAACAGAAAAATGTTGCCTAGGCCTGGAAATTTTGTTAATCCAAACCTTTGTGCCTTCATTCTAAGAATAATTATTTTGGGGGTTTCACTGTTATTTTAAAGCAGAGTTTAACATTTGTTCAAAATCTTTAAAGATTCTTGTTTCTATGAAAATCAAAAAATGTGAATATTTTTTTGTAAAAAAAATTAATCTTCTTCTTAAGATAATAACCTTTGATGTTTTTTTGCTCAAAGAAGATTTTAACATTTTTCATTTTGCTCAAAAATTTTCCTTGAGCGTGCTCAAAATTATTTTAAAAACAATATTCACCAAATCAGGCAATTTCCGAATGCAAGATTTGGGTCTCATTCCCATTTTTTTCCCTTGGCTAAGACTATATTATTATATTGAAAAATTAATCTTAATTCATTCAGATTAGTATTGACCTATTCATTTTGTTTTCAAATGGGCTAACTAAAGCTAAATGTAAATAAATGAATTATATAATTATTATATGCTAAGATTTTAATCTTTATATCTTAAGATGCATTATTACTTTCCAGAAATAACATTAGTAGAAAATCAGTTTTTAAAGTCATATCTACATAATAATTTAGCATATATGGTAAATTATTTAAGCAATTAGAGAAATCAATGCATAAAATAATTTTTAAGCTATAGACCAGGGGGGTTGCTAGACAGTTTATGGTTCTCCCCCCTTATAAAAATTTAGCACCCAATCTTTAAATATGGAATTATAAATCAATCATTATAAGTTTAAAAGGCTGAATCTATTCATGTACTAATCCAGTTGCTGGGAGTTATCAAATAAATATAATTAGTCAGCGGTCTGCGAATAAATTCCCCGGCCTGGCCTGGTCACATGGGAATTAAGGTTATGCCCAATCTTTGCCGGTTTCAATTTACAACTAAGGCTGCCTGACCAGACTAGATTTTGTTTTTTTTTACGAATATTGTCCAGCCCGGTTTATAAAATCAGCCAGATTTTTTTAAATATAAGGAAAATACATAAAATAAAATGATCAATAACTTTTGCTCATCGCATCTTTCAATTTACATAAAGTTAATCTTGCAGTCATGTTGAGAGTATTTATCGAATGATCATATAAAGTAATTATTTGTACAAAATGATTGAATCTTTTAAATTAAAAATAGCCTTATTATATAAAAATAATACTTGTACCAATGATCATAGTAAACGCATTGTCTTTTCGCTATATGTAGCAGAGCTACGTTTGGATTTTTTTAAATACCATCTAATTTGGTTAAATTATTGGGACATTCTAAGAGAGAAGCCCAGCCACATTTCATCATATATAAACGCAAACGGGAGGTATAAAATTAGAAGATTCGTTTCCGATTAAATAAAATTTTGATTTGTGGATATTGGATTGTTTAATTTAACTATACTTGGTATTTGCTATAAAGCAGTATTTGAAACCTAAACAAGTGAAGGTAAATAAATTAGATAATAAAATCATTCTGATAAGAAGTGCCATATGATGGTGTCTGCATGATAACCTGCCTAGAGCCTATATTCACTTATGAAGGTTTATGAAAAGGAACAATGTGACTGACTATAAAATTAATAAATAGTTGGGCCTAACACATTTTTCATATTTGATAATTTATCCTTAAGACACATGTTTTATTTTTAACCAGTTTGAATCACAGCAAGTATTAAGATTTAACAATATTTATCTTTTTATTATTATTTTATTATGTTATAGCTTTAATAAAAATTTTAAAGATATTTTTTAAATATGTTATGCATAAACACTACTGGTTGTATTTATGTAAAAATATAATAAATAACCTAAAACCTATTTTAAAGATATTTTTTAAATATGTTATGCATAAACACTACTGGTTGTATTTATGTAAAAATATAATAAATAACCTAAAACCTATTTTAAATGTTGATCTAATTTTATGGATATAAATTAAAGTAAAATTTTAAAATATAGGGTTATTTATGATTTCTAGGCTGAACTTAGTTTTAGCCAAGAACTATCCCATCAGCTGTTTTTTGGAGAACTCAATTTTGAAGATGTGATTATATTAACTTGTCCCTCAATGTCTAGTATATTTTCTTTGGCACATGCTATAGATTTAGTCACAATTATAATTATTACGGATATATTTTAAATGGATTAAGACGCATATTACAATTTTTTATTTAGCAGGAGTTAATTTTTTACATGTAGGTTCATAATAAGGATATTAAAGGCAAAATTGATATTTTTTTGTTTATTCACTTTTAATAAAGGTTTTCAAAACTTTGAATTTGTCTAAATTGTTAAATAAACTTAAAGGGTACCTAATAAAATCTTAGCTCCTTCCCATTGTACGCCAATAAATTTATAATTAATTTAAGAATATTATTGAATCTTATATTTAAATGTGTTATATATAAAAATGTATATATAGAATATGAAACTGCCTCTTTTATATTTTCGACAACTTAATTCACATTTTAAAAATCTTTCTAACATTGCATATGATACATTGCCCAAAAGAACAGAACTAATAAAACAAAATAACTCATTACTCATCAAACTAAGAAGATCCACTGGATATCCTGTATTAAAGTGCCAACAAGCTCTAAAAAAATTTGACTATGATTATAGCAAGGCTAAAATTTATTTAGATGAAACTGCAGAGCACGAAAATTGGGATAAAGCTAGCAAATTGCAACACAGAACTACAAAACAAGGATTGATTGGAACTATAGTGTCTGAAAATGGCCGTTTAGGTTTGATGGTTGAACTCAATTGTGAAACTGATTTTGTAACAAAGAACGTCAAATTTTGCCAATTAGTTGATACCATTATGAATTCTGTTAGTATACACATCAGTGATGAACCAAATATAGGTGATTCCATTTCAATCAACGATAAACATGCCTTTTCAAAATTTACCATAAACCCCGATTATTTGAAAGATATACCTTTAACTAATTCCAAATTAGGAGAAGTAGTTCATCAAATGACAATAAAGGATTCGATAACTCAGGCCATCGGAACCTTTGGCGAAAATATCACTTTAAGAAGGGCAATAGGGATGCGATTTTTACAAAATGCCAATGATCATTCACAAAAAATGGATAAAGATAAGATCAGCTTCGTAGGCAACTATTGCCACTCTGGATTCAAGCAGCATCACGTCTCTGAAACCATCAGCACCGGAAAATACGGATCGCTAGTGGCTTTGACCTATGTAACACATCGGGACAACGATCCCAATCTTCAGGGTTTTGAAAAATCGGAGAAATCTTCGCCCAAACTCAAACGCCTCGCCGAAGAATTGGCTCAGCACGTGGTTGGGATGAACCCGACCGAGATAGGAAACGATGCAAATGTAAAAGACGTTGTTGACGAGTTTCAATCTATTAAAGGTTTAGCAGGGCTCGACACTGAAACTTCTCACGATACCCAAGGTTCCCTGGATTCCTCGCCCATTCCATTAAATCCCCAGACCACCCCCTTGATAGACCCAGAAAGTTATTGCTCGGAATTACCCCAACAACAACAGCACAAGGATAAGTTGGAAGAAGAAAATGAGGAAGGGGAATACAATGACGACGAATTCGACCAGAAGTTTTACGATGATTATTACGCTACCCTGCGCGCGGACGAAAAAAGGCAAAACGAGAAAAGATTTTTGCGGCAAAATTTTTTATCCGATCCCACTCGCGTTGTAGGAGATGTCCTCTCTGATAATTTGCTCGAAGTGGTAGATTTTGTTAGATACGAATGTGGCGAGGAAATATAAAAGGGCTTTTACATAATAGACATTATTTCGTTTTTGATACAGAAAGTATTAATTTTGTAAAAGAATATTTCAAGAATTAATAAATCGAACCTAATTTTGAACTTTATACATTTTATTTATATGATTTTTTTTGTTTTGTTTACTTACTTTGATAGTAATTGCTAAACAAGTTATTCTTAAAACGCCCGTTTTTGGCCGATTTTTAGAAATATGACATATAGAAGTTCAAACCTTTCTACAATCTATAAACAAAATTTCAAGGCTTACATAATATTATTTGGGCTAAAATCTTAGTCGGGCTTTTTAACTATTCGAATATAAATTTGTTATTAGATTTGTTATTTTTTGTTTATATAAAGTTTTGTAGTTTAGTTTCATGAGATATTTCAAGAATTATAGAGAGAGATTTCAGGATATTTTGGTAGGAATCATAATTTAAAAATAAAAATAAATATGATTTATTAGATTAAACAGCGATTTTTTTTTGATTTAAATCTTATATAAGAATAGATCAAAATCATTTTGGGAAAGAATTCTTTTTTTTTCTTTAATCCTCAGACTTAGCTGTTATGATAACTTTTTTTATCAGAGCAGTGCCGATACTAATGATATCGCACTCAGTCGTTATTTTATGCGAAATTACTGCCGGATAGCAAATTATTCACTCGAATTAAAAATTATTTGTCCGCCCGGCCGCCCGGGTTTATTTAAATATAGAGGAAAATTTATTATTCTTTTTTATTGTAAATAATAATATCCTACGAAATATAAAAATTAGCCACTTGTTTATTGCAAGAATTTTAAAGTATATCATTATATTTGACAAACTAAAAATATCATATTTAAAAAGCCTGACCTGACCCGGCTTTAAAAAAATATTAGGTCCAACCTAGCCCCAACCTTTTTTTTAGAATAGGCTCTTCCCGAAACCCGTTCGGACCGGGTACGGATGGTTAAAGCACTCATGTGCATTATTAAATCAAGGAATATTGGCATAGATGTTAGGATTAGTGCTTTTGTTCAGTCAACTTTAACGGAGATGATAAAAAAATATTCCATATTTTAGAAAATCAAAATTAATAATAATATCATGGGAAAATAAAAAGCAGGACCTGGCAAATGGGTGGCGGAGGGGTGTACTATTTTCGTAACACCCACCCGGATAAATTCTGACCATGCAACCGCAAGCCAGGCTAATTAAATTTTATCAATTAGCTGGGAAAACTTATTAGGAGTTTTTAATATTCAATTACTAAAGATATGGTGAATTCCATGACAAATCAACAAAAAAAATACACGATTTTCAACGTGACCATCTCAGATTTTTCTAAAATTTTAATGAGAGTTTGTATATTATTTTAACTAAGAAAAAAAAATAAAATTTTAGCCTCCAACTTCAAACAGCGGATGAGACGCGGGCCTCTAGATATCGAAAAATGAGGCATAAAATGTTTCCCATTTATTATAAATATCTTAAGATGCAATTACGCTAGAAGCTTCATTTAAATTTGTTTATATAGTTTAATGGTAGGCCCTTAAAGTAACAATGCTAAATTTTATTTCAATGCCTTAAAACAGGAAATGATTATAAAATCAAATTGACATTTTTTTTGACGAATAGCTATAGGATTAAATAATAAATATTGCAAAATTTCAAGTTGGGCCGAACACAGTTTTACGAGAAATAGTATTTTAATCATTAGTCTATTGAATATATTCCTAATAAATTTGATATTAATTAATAATTCCTCGCAAACTAGCGCAAGCACTTTTGCCATAGGATGTTGCGAAAAGATGTCATTTGGCTTTGATCCAAAATGGAGTTCATGATGTGAAAGATTATGAATTTTTTATATATATTTTTATAGTGCGTTACTGGGCCATCAGAAAATATTTTTGATATATTTCGAAATTTTGATTAAAAATTTTAATCAATTTAATTTGGATTAATTAAACGATACATATGTTATATTTTAGACATGATGAAAGCATCTAATATGTTTGTTCATATTATTTTCACGATAATACACCATAAAGAGATAATGTCTAGTCATCCCTGAACCTGGTCTTGAACCTATCTAAAAATTTACCATCATTTAAACTGATTTTAATGAATTGTCAAGTGCTAACTGTTGCGAAAATATAAACTAATTTGGGATTAACTTATATTTAATGTTTCGAAAAATGAATTTATAAAATCGGATGTCGACCGGCAAAATGTATCAAGTGTCGTTCAATCAACAGATAACGATTTGAAAGTTATATAATCAAATACAATATTAATGATATCGCAAACTTTTCTCTTAGATTAAGGAGACCCGAGCAAAATTTACATTTTCTAAAGTAACAATCAGGAAATGGAGGATTACAGAGATTGTGCAATACAATCTTGATAATCTTTTATGGGGAATATATCATTAGTCATTAATTGGGGAAATATTCCGCCGTTCAACATCTGATGAATCGTGCATATGCTCACGGCTTGGGTTCCTGGTCCTTCAGCTTCGACACAATATTTTGGTCTTAAATGAGCAAATTTACTAAAGTCCACTTTTATAAAAACATGTGTTTTAAAATTAGAATATAATTCCTTAAGATTGCATAAAATGAGTCTTTTATGCAATTAACACTTCTCTCCTTAAACCTTTATTGATGAAAATGGGTTTTACCAGATATTATTTTTTATAGGAATTTTAAAATATCGTTTTGAAAAACACTCACAGAGGAGGTACATTTCTAACCTTTATCCAAATTGTGCTAATTTTAAGAGCAAAGTAAAATTAAATAAAAACAATAATAGCCACCCACCATTAGTCAATCTTTTATTTAAATACATAAAATATTTAAAAGATTTTAGTTTAATATATTATAATTAATGATTTATTAAATATTTATCATAATTTACAATTGACTAAAGATTAAAATTCCATATCTCCTAAACCTAAGCTCAGCCCATTTCGAAATTTTGCACATTTATTAATTAGTTCTTTATACATAAAAAATGAGAAAAAGTTGATTTTATAACCTTCCGGTTTATCACATTGAAATTTTTAAACAATATTTAATATTCTTTACATTTAAAGGCTAAACTATTAGGCTATATAAAGATATTTAAATGACGTTTCTAGTTGAATTATATCCATTGATATTCCAAATTAAAGAGAAAACATTTTGTTTAACCTTTAGAGGCGCGTATTTCAGTCGCTATTTAGAGTTGGAGGCTAAGATTTTATTTTTTTCTTAGTTATAATATATGCAAACTCAAGTAAGTATTTTAGAAAAATCTGAGGAAGTTGGATCGAAACTCATGTTAATTTGTCATGGAATTCACCATATGTAATTTAAAACTTAAAAAAAAATTAATATTAATAAAATTATTAACTCTCGCTATTAATTAATATAATTAAAAAAACCTTGGTAAAAAAATGATTTTTTTTGAAATAAAATTAAAAAACGCCATCTAGTGGATAAAATATTATTATTTTAACTTCTTTTTATCAATATAAGTTTTCTTATTCTTTTTATAGATGATTTATATATACCATTTTAATTTCATTATCAGGCACTAATATGAATATATTAGATATCTACTAATTTTTTTCTAAAAAAATTCTACTTTAAAATGATAAAATTAGATGAAATGTATTTATATTAAAATATTTATGAAACTTTTGTCTTATTTATAAATAATAACTAATACCCATTAAAATTTTATAAATAAATTTTGTAAAATCATTTACAAAATATTTTTTTTAAAATGCAATATAATGATCATCTATTAATTTTATAAAAAAAATAAAAATTAAAAAAAATACATATGAAAGGTGGATTAAATATTGCTAAGTACTATCTATCATATAAAAACGGTGCCCCAAATATTTGGATTATATTTTGGCCTAGTGTTCAAATTAACAACCTCTTTTTTATCAATATTAGTTTTCTTATTCTTTTCATAGATGATTTTTATATATCATTTTAATTTCATTATCAATCAATAATATGAAAATTTATTTTAAAATACTTCTAATTTAGCAACAGATATATGGAATATGAAATGATAATGAATATGATTATAAATGTGATTTATTATATAATTATATATTATACTTTTAGATGCTTGACAAAATTTGACGTCGAGTCCGCAGAACCACTTATAGATTTGTGACATTCTTTACATTCTGCAGTAATTTTATTATGATCATGTTGAAGTACTTGAAAAAATTTCCCATTTATATTAATTAGTTCCTTATACATAAAAAATTTGAGAGAAAAAAAATTTCGATTTGATTTTATGACCTTCCGGTTTATTACATTTAAATTTTTAAACAATATTTATTATTCTTTACCTTTAAAGGTTTAACTATTAGGCTATATAAATAAATTAAAATGACGTTTCTAGTTGAATTATATCCATTGATATTCAAAATTAAAGAGAGAACATTTTGTTCAACCTTTAGAGGCGCGTATTTCTGTCACTCTTTAGAGTTGGAGGCTAAAATTTTATTTTTTTCTTAGTTATAATATATGCAAACTCTAGTAAGTATTTTAGAAAAATCGGAGGAAGTTGGATCGAAGCCATATTAATTTGTCATGGAATTCACCATATGTAATTTAAAACTTAAAAAAAATTAATATTAATAAAATTATTAACTCTCATGATTAAAAAACCTTGGTAAAAAAATACAATTTTTTGAAATAAAATTTAAAAATGCCATCTAGTGGATAAAATATTTTTATTTTAACTTTTATAAATATATAAAAATTTTGATTTTATAAAAGTGTTTAATCTAAAATATCTTATAATTGTTATTTTTTAATATCTGCCAGACATTTATGTTAATCTTGAAATACAATTTACTTTCAATTATATTTAAAAAAAAGGGAAAACTCAATTATAAATAGAGTAAAAATATAATTTAATTTATATTATATGGCGAAAGTTGTCTGTGTCACAAAAATTCCCGGCGAAATTTGTTAGGGAAAAAACTGATTGTTGAATACTATAATTATAGTTTTACAAATTGTAACATTTTTGAATAATATAATTTTAGTTTAATTTTTAACCTTTATTTTAGTTTTCAAAT